CCGCCACTCGGGCCGCCCAGGCTCCGCCGACCGGAAGCGCCGCCCTCGGGCCCCGCCCACTCCGCGCGGGAGGGGGGGGGAAGAGAGGGGGCACGTGACGCCAGCGCTGGGTGTGACGTCATCGGCGCCCCCCCGGGTCCGAGGCTTGGGAGGAGAAGCGCGAAGCCGGGGTGTCACGGCGGTGAGGGGGATGGCGTGAGGTCATAAGAGCCTTTTTTTTTCCTCCCCCACCCCAAAAAAAAACACATAGCAAGGACTCACAGAGCAGGCTCGCTGGGCTTGGTCAAGGCTCTCGCCTGCTATCCCTGCGCTTGTGAGTTCGAGGCCACCCAGGTCTACATAGTCAGCCCCCTGCCGCAAGCACGGAAAATTAAAAAACAGAAAACAAACAGTGCGAAGAAATGCCTGAAGCTTCGGAGTCGAGACCGAATCCCAGAGCCCTGAAGGAGGAGACTGAGTGAGAAAAACACGTTCAGATGCCATCAGCGCCCCTGGAATTTAGTACAGTATTGGGCATTGAGTATAGAATTAAAAAAAAAAAAAAAAAAAAAAAAACAAGCAGGGCGGTGGTGGCGCACGCCTTGAATCCCAGCACTCGGGAGGCAGAGGCAGGAGGATCTCTGTGAGTTCGAGGCCAGCCTGGGCTACAAAGCGAGATCCAGGAAAGGCGCAAAGCTATGCAGAGAAACCCTGTCTCGAAAAACAAAACAAAAAAGACTCTGTGTGTGTGTGTGTGTGTGTGTGTGTGTGTGTGTGTGTGTGTGTTGTGAGTACAGTGCCCTCTGAAGATACTGTCCCATCCCCAGCTGACCCATCTCTCCAGTCCCATAATTTATCTTAATTTTTTGAAGGGGAATCTCACTGTAGCCCAGGCTGACCCAGAATTCAGTCTGTAACCCAGACTCGCCTCAGACTCACAGCGATCCTCTTCCTGCCCCCTCTGAAATGCTGGGATTGCAGACAGGAACCACCAGGCCTGGCTGAGTGTATACAGTTCTGAATAAAACAGGACAGCCCACCTATATAGAGCGACAGGGAGCCCCAAACAGACGAAAGTAGCATACACCCAGAGAGCTCAAAAAACAGTGCTTCCAAAATAACACAGTAAGAAAGAACTTACTTAGAATTGTAAGAGGTGCCCTTCCAGAAGGGAGCAACCGAGGAGATCTGAAAGAGGGAGGAACCCACGGCCATTCCTTTAGGAAGCTGGGGCAGTAAGTCCATCATGCATGAAGGCCCTGAGGCAGGACGCGTTTGGGACATTTCATGAATGGGA